TATCCATAAAAACCTGCCTGCGGCCATGGTATTATCTGCTAGAACGCGTGCCCATTTCGCACCCTTGAAACTGTGTTCACATCTGGCCTCTTACTGGATCCCTTCCTATGAGACAGAACGACAGGTGTCAGAGGCACCCTTCGACAGATGAGGAACTGGAAACCCAGAACACGCGGCTGATTCAGTGTCACATCCAGCGGGCGGGGGGGGGGGGATCCTCTAACACCCAGGCCCTCGGCCTGCACAGGGGTCTGGGAAGCAGCCTGTTACAAGGACAGAGCACAAGCTTTGGAGAACGCAGATCTGGACTTGAATTCCAGCTCTGCCACGTACTCAGCCTGTGTGTGTGTGTGTATGGGAGAGAGAGAAAGAGAGACAGAGACAGAGACCTTGAGCAAATGTCATCGCCTTATCATAAGATTGTTTCCTGGTACATAAAGCATGCAGAATATCCACTCCTCACATCAAGTGATGGACCCAACACCACATTACGCCTTTAATGCAGGAACACAGTGTACTTTCCCAACCGCAGTCCCACGCTCCAGGAACGTGGGTTTCCATGTGGATCTGCCTCCTCCTTCTTAACACTAGACCCCTTCCCACTCACTCTCCCCTCCCCCTCCCACACGCTGCCGCATCTGATACCTCCCAGACCACCTAACTTTGGCATTCAGCTTGTAGCAGGGCTCCTGGTTCATTTCTAGGATACCTTATTGTACCTCCTGCTGTGCAACAGGGCGTGTTTGGTTAAGTCTTTTTAAGGGCAGCAGAGGAGCTGACATTTAGGAAAATTAGTGACAGATGCATTATCTCATAAATGAGGAAGGCTTTCATAAGAAATAAAGTCTGAGTTCTAGCCTAAGACAATTTCTTAAGAGCAAGGTTATTTTATGTTTGCTTTTAATATAAACATGTATTACTTTTTAGTGGGGCAGTGGGAGGAGATGGGAGGGGCTTCTAAATTGAAGGAATTAACCCCTAGCTTGACTCCTCAGAAACTTGATATCCCCGGTCCTCATGGAGCCGATTTCCCACCAGGGCATCATTAACAAGAGAGGTGCATGCGATGGGAATCAAGAGCCCCAGGGCCCCGGCGGAAGCCAGTATACTGGTGGGAGGAGGGGGTCACTAGTCCCTTGATGTGGGAAGTAACAAGCTTGCAGGTCTCCCACCCAGAAATCCCTGACCATGGTAACAAGGCAAAGCAAGGGCACCGAGTGGAAGAACCCAACAGCTTCCTTACTCTGCTCCTCGCTTCCGTCGCCCGTAGGTCCCTGCCCCAGAGGACACCTCCCCCCCCGCCCCCCCGGCATCAGAAGGCTGCAGCAATCCAGCCGAGAAAGGGTCTCAAGCATTCTTCCAGCTGATAAATACCTGAATTCCCACTTTGGCTCACAGGAATGAGGAGGAAGGCGAGTTTAAGAGCCATATGGGAAGCAAAGGTAGCAGGTGGGACTTAGGGACACTCAGGTTCCTGGGATGGGTGGGTCAACCACCACCCTCGAGATATGGAGTCCTCTCTTTTTTACCTAAATAACCTGGTGTCCACAAGTAGTGGATAATCTTTCCCAAGGACAGCAGTGGCCACCGTATGTCCCAACCCTCCACGGTGGCAAATATCACACTGTACACCCAGAGACGCAAGCCTATCGCAGCCCCAATATTTCTTTCAATTATTAACTTCCAAAAACATTCCTAGGCAGAAAAACAACCCACACAACATTAAAGATGGACATTCCGGAGAACTGAGGGTCCAAATCACCTTAACCCAAAAAGGTCAGTTGGCTTCAGCCCAGGGTCTGCTGGGAACCCAAGGTCCACCCAGTATTTGCATGGGGTAAAAGGTGAAGTTCACAAGAGGGAACAGAGTGTCAGAAATCAACAAGCAGAACATATTCCTTACTTGCGTTAATTAAGAGACTTAAAAAAAAAACAACAAACACGACCTGTACAGCCTAGACTATTTCTACAGGCATCAAAAAGACTGTTAGGGTGGTTGTCTCTGGAGCGGGGACCCAGGTGCGGAGGCCAACTCTGCGCTTTGTTCCCATATGCGCCGCCTTCATTTTGGACCGTGTGCTTGTATTACTTATCTTTAAAACAGCAAAGTCCCCGCAGGAGCAGCTCAGGAATGGCTCAAACCATTCGGGAAAAAGAAGCCTCGTTAAAGTAAGGGACGGAGAATCTCCGAAACACACTCTAAACATGCCGATTAACCTTAAAAAGCACCAATTCTTCCGGAAGTGAAGCTGAGGCTTCCAGCAGCAGAACTCCGGCCTGCCAGCAATAACCACGCAGAATGACTAAACCTCTTCTCCAACAAAGGAAAAACTGCTCCGAATCAAAGTGCAGAACCAGCCCCGGGCCTGAGCGGGCGCGCGTTTCCGCCTCCCACCTTCCCACCGCCCTCGAAGCTCAGGCTGAGTCTTTAATTGCTCGCCTGGAACGCGTCCTCGAGGGCACGGCCGGCAGCTGCGGCTGGCGCACCCCGCCCCGCCCCCACCGCGAGCGTCACGTGACGGCTGCGAAAAGTAGGGGAAAGGTTAACACGAGCCCCGCCCCCGGCCAGGCGCGTCCCAGGCGCTCAGATCCTGTTCCACCCGCCCGGCTCGGAGAGACCTTCCGGAGCGAGCTGGCGCGCGTCGCCGGCGCTGCCATCCTCCTCCCCCGGCGACACGCAGCGCCTCTCCCTGGGAAGGACAAGCCCTGCGCGGCCAACCCTGGGGACAGTTAAGGGCTTAGTGCGCCCGACGCCATCCCCCAGCGGCACGGCGCCCCGGCGCGCCCAAAGCGCGTCCGGAAGGGACTCGCTGCGAAGCCCAAGGAAAAATGAACAGTGTTTCTATGAATGGGCACGAGGGGCCAGGGTTGCATAAGCGCGGGCCCTCCCCCGGGACTCCCCGGAGGCCCAGGCTTGACCGCTGGGTTACCACTGGTCCAGGGTCGGGCCAAGGACGGCAGCTGCAGGGACACCAGGTTTATTCCCTTGGTCTCTGGGTTAGGCCCCTTGTTTTCAGTACAAACTCAAAAGGTTATTTTGGCCTGTGCATGATGCCAATTTCTGCCACTCTGATACGAAGCATGTGCACTCCCAAAGATGGCCCTTTTCTCTGATTCATTCCAGCAGATGGAGTTCAGCGTGCGAGGTCAGGTCTAGCAATGCCTCACCGGAAGGAAACCGGTCCTCTATAGGCGAAAGGAGCACCCCCCCCCCCGGCGCACAGAGGCAGAACCACCCAAAACCCGCGCTCTGAGGGCTGCGTCCAGTTCGTATCAGACACGGTGGCCCCAGAGGACTTAGAACCGGACACCGCCTCGCCTCAACGATCAGCATGCTCATCAGCATTAACGTCCTCCTCTGTCCGCCACACTTATCTCGAGTCACCTTAAAAACTTTGGAAAGGCGGGGGGGGCAGAGGGGGTGATGTTTGCTGGCACAAATAAAAGACCAGTGAGTTCGGCCATGTTTTAATCACTTGTTTTGAGGTTCAGAAGAAAATAAACACGCTTGAATATCTGGAATGACCAGAAACCGGACGCCGGTGCAAGAAGATGGTGTAACAAAATACACGTTTCAAAAAGGTTAAACAGATTTTCATTTTATTCGGTAACTTACAAAGTTACCAGTTTCCCACAACAATCTGCCCTTAAAATATTTTAACAACACGGGGAGCACAAGAGGAACCGAAAGCCTTGTTCTGAGTAGGGAGTACTGAGTCTGTTCTGTACTGAACCTGGTTAATTACTCGGGATTTTTAACTCCTTAAAAAAGGCAAGGTTGGGCCTCACCTTCGTTCCCTTCAGCTGGAACGAAAGCCAACCACCAATTTACATTACAAAGACGCTGACCCACGGCCTTGCTGAACAAAACGAAAGGAACAGGTCTGGCGGTAGGCTCGCCGAGGGAGCTGAGGTTAGGGGATGCGTCCGTCGGGGCCCGGGTCGCTCCGCCGCCCTGACCGCGCCGTCCGGTCTCCCGAGCCAAGGGAGCCTAGGCCCGGTCACGTGACGCCCCTCCCCCACCCCCGCGCGGCGGCTCGGGGGCCCGGCGCGACCTTGGGCAGACTCTCCGCGCCCACCTGCCCTGCGCCCAGCGCCTCACCAGGGGGTGGGGGGCGCTCGCAAGCGGGGACCCCGGCCGAGCGCCCCTATCTCGATCCCGACGGGCTCTCGGACCGCGCCGGGAGCCCCGCGTCAAGGGCGTGTCCCGACGGCTGCAATGCGGGGTCAGCCGCGGGGAAGAGGGTGGACGGCGCACCGGGGAGTCCTGAGACCCCAGAGTCCCTCTAGCTCCCACTTGGGACCAGCCCGCGACCCCAGGACGGCCCCCCAGACCCAATCCACTCCCGGAGGAGGAAGGGATGCGGCGGGATCGAAAGGGGGTTGGTGGCGCCCCGCCAAGTCCAGAAGGCCAAGCATCCCTCCTGCAGCCTCAGCGACCCTCGGACGGACCCCCAGACCCAATCCATTCCTAAGAGAGGGGTGGGATGAGAGGAAAAGGGAGCCGGCGTCCTTCGTGGCCCCAGGCCCGAGGCATCCTGCCAAATCCAGAGACCCAAGCATCCCTCCAGTTCCTGCACTGTACTGGTGGGCCGACCAACCCTCGGGCATACCCCCAGACCCAATCCACTCCTGGGAAATGGGAAGTCCAGAGCTTGGCGCATCCTGCCAAGTCCGGAGGGTTGAGCATCCCTCCCGCTGCCGCACCAAACCCGCACGGCAGGACCCCGCGCAGATCGGCCCCCGGGCGGACGCCCCCGACCCAATCCACGGCGGGAGGTGAGGAGTCCTTGCCGCGCTCCCATTTTGGGCTCCTGACGAACCCCGCCGTCCGGGGGGGGATGCTGGGGGTTCCCCTCCGCGCCGCGGTCCCCGCCCCCGCCTGGGTCCGGGCCCTGGCAGTCCCCGCGCGCCCCACCCTGGAGCCCGCCGCAGCCCGCAGGCCTGCGCCCGCTCGCCCGCCCGCCGTCCCCGCGCGCGCAGCCTCGGCCCAGCCTTACCAAGTCAGCGAACGGAGGCGCGGTGGCGGCGGAGGCGGCAGCAGAGGCGGCAGCGCACTGAGAGCCAGAGAGCGAGAGCCGGAGGCTGGAGGGCCGCGGGCGAGGCCGAGTGCACCCGCCGCCGGCCGCCGCCGATTGGCTGAAGCGTGCGGGGCTGCGGTGCGGGCGGGGCTGAGGCTCCCCGCGCTGGGCGGGCGGGGGGGCGGGACCTGGACGGGGCGGGGCCTCGGCGGCTCCTAGGGGAGCCTGTCAGGTGAGGAAACTGAGGCTGCTGGGGGGCACGCCGCCTCCGCCTCTGCCAGCATGGGGCCCAGGGCGAGATTCCTCACCCTGGAGACTCTGTTTTCTCATCTGAAAAATGGGCCAACTCATTTGGGCCAAGCCCATAAAAGCGCATAGCATGGTGCCTGGCTCAGGCTAGCCCTTTACAGCCATTGCCGCCTATAATCCTCAAAGCACCCCCTATAAATAGCTGATCCCTGCCGGGGCTGCGGAAGGATCACTAACTTGCGCACGATCACACAGCAAAAAAAATGGATCCGACGCTGGGGCCAGGTCTGACTCCAGAGCCCAAGCCCCAGATCGGACCTTATCCCCGGAGCAACAGCTGAGGCGATCCGGAGGCAGCGTGGCTCGCGGAGCCAACACGCGCTACTGCGAATTCCCGCGACCGTTCTGAGCCGCCTCCTCATCTAACTGGGAGAAAAATACCTCCCTCGGGGGCTTTGATAAGATTTGGTAAATTAATGGCGCCTAAAGCACTGTAGGTGCCAGGAAAGACGTGCCTGGAGGTGGGGACAGAGTGACCGAGAGACCCTTGTGTGGGTCACTGAACTCAGGAGAGGGGCCAGGAGTGGACACTGCTCACTGGCAGATCCCAGGAGTCTAGGCCCAAGGCGGGGGGGACAGGGCGCTCAGGAAAGACGGGGCAGTGTTTCCCCCCACCCCCACCCCCGCCCCTTCCCTCTCTTCATCTGCAATGCTCCCAGGTCCTAGCTGGTGGTCCTGCATACAGCAGGTGCACCATAAATGCATAAATGCAGTTTTATGAAGAGACCCGGCTCTCCTAAAGGTCGATGACTTCTTTTGGCTATCAAAAATCCACGCTTGCCGCCATCTTTCGCTCTGTATTATTTGGTGATTACCACTGCAAAGTTTAGAAGAGAAAATGAAAGTTCCCTCTTGTTCCCGCCCCCCACTGCCACAGCTATGGTTAACTATTGGTACACACTCTCTGGGCTGTTTTAAATGAAGTCATAGGATAGGTACTGTTTCTAACACTCTTGTTTTCCCTTGGCTTATGTCGTGGACAGAGTTCCCTGTGGAGACGGACATGACCTCCTCTTTCGCAGTGTTCAACGCGCCCCATGGACACTTAGACCCCCTTTTCACCATTGCAGGAATAAAGAAACCTGCACCAGCTTGTCGGCGTGCCTCTTTGAGCTCTGGTTTCTCTTTGTAGGAGCAACCAAGTCAGAGAGCAGGCACCTGTGACATTTTGGTGACATATTGGTGTCACTTGCTGAGCCACCCGCAAAAAAGCTTACTAACATCTATTCCCACTGAGGCGTGGCAACTGAGCCGTCTCCAGGAGCTCATCAGCGCTGTCCGTCACTATCCGTTCTTTTCATCTTTGCCCATCTTAAAGGAGAGGGTGTAGATAACGCTCCTTATTTTAATTTGCATTTCTTTGAAGTTAGAAATTGGAGATTTCCTGCCGCTGCTGGCTCCTGTCTGGCCCCGGAGGGGTCCCAGGCTGCGACCCCCTCCCCTCCCCTCAATATTTCGGGGCCCAAGAAAGCAGGTGGGCTGGGCCAGGGCCCGCCTGCACAGAGCGCGCGGCTGCCCGGCACCTGCATCCTCTGCTCCACAATCACAGCACACAGGCCTTCCTGGCCTCTCACCCTCACCTCAAATGCCCTTCCCTCCTTTCCCTGGAACCCCGTGTTTAGGTCCCGGCCCAAGGTCACTTTCTTCTTCACTCGAGTCCCGCCATGCACCCCCCTGGGATTAGTCCCGCACCCCATATGTTCCCAGGGCTCTGCGGCCTTGACTGTGCACCCCTCCCCGCGCGCTGCCTCGGTGCCACCTGCAGGCCAGGCGAAGCAGGGCCAAGGGTAGGACCGCGGTCCGCGGGGCCACTGGGTCACCACAGTCCCCTGTGCCCCGGTGACTGGGCTCTCGGGCTGCCCTAAGCGAGCCCAGGCCCGCCAGCAAGCAGTTCCAGCCAGAGCGTAGAGACTACATTCCCCTCCCCGGGGTCCGTTCCCTGGGACTGCAGCTCCCCAGGGCGGCTTGGTAGCCGCTATTAACAAAAAGCCCAGGAACGAGGCCCCCGGGGAGCTCCAGGCCTGTCTGATCCTGTGTTCCCTTTGGGCCAAAAATATCTCAGAGTTGGCCTCAGAAACTGGAGTAATCTTTCTCAAGCTCTGTTTTTGTTTTTGTTTTTGTTTTGTTTTTTCAATTTTTTCCCCGGTTTGAATGGAACATACTGTAGCCGCTGCCTATTGTGGCTATAAGGAAACCTTTTTTTTTTTTTTTAATGCACCTACTCTACTGTCTTTATTATCACTAAGAAATCCCCCTCTTTTTTTTACTCTAAAAATATCTTTTTATGGAAAAATTCAAGCATATAAAAATTAGCGAGATCAGTATCATAAAGTCCTGGATAACCAAACAAAACAGGTTCAACAATTAAGCGAGGGCCGAACTTGTTTGTCTCTACCCCAGCCACTGCCTCTGGATTTCTTTAAAGCAAATCCAGAAATCCTACTGTTCTGTCCACACATTCTTGAGTGCAGATCTCTAAAAGATAAAGGTTCTTTAAAAAAAAAAAAAAATCCCCCCACACACAAAATATACCCTCAATACCATTGTCCAACCTAAAATAGCAGAACAATTCTGATACAAAACTTGTAAGGCCCTTTTGGGCTGCCAAGAGTACAGCTGAGTTCCACTCTCCTGCCAGCCCGGCTACTTGTTGGCAGCTCCCAGCAGAGAGATTCTGATCCCAAAGCATGTGAGTCTTCTTGGAACTCAGCTCTCACTTCCCATAGGAAACAATTTTGTAATCCCAGAGTTCTGTGCTTCTCGCTCCTCTCCAGAGCTTTGAACCCCTTTGAACTTGACCCTTGAGCCGCTGTAGGTAGTGGGCAAATAGCAGTGGTCCCAGGTCAGGTGGCAATAATGTTTGCTCAGCCAGCATCACTGGGGTTTGGTGAGGACAAAATGAGGTAATGCAGATGCAAGCAAACTGGACCGAAGCAGCTCGACCGTGTGCCAGTGATAGGAACTCCTAGCAACTACCAAAGGTATTCTTAATTAAATAGGCTTGCTCTCTGACCCAGTAATCCTGCTGCTGTGTATCCACCGGGAAGAAATGAGAGCACATGTCCATGCAATGACCCCTGGTGTAGGAATGTTTACAGAAGATTCACTTGGGCGCCTGGGTGGCTCAGTTGGTTAAGCGTCTGCCTTCAGTTCAGGTCATGATCCCAGGGTCCTGGGATGGAGCCCCGCATTGGGCTCCCTGCTCTGCGGGGAGCCTGCTTCTCCCTCTCCCTCTGCCCCTCCCTACCCCCCGCCTCCTGCTCTCTCTCTCTCAAATAAATAAAATCTTAAAAAAAATTAAAACTTACAAAGTTGGATCACCTGGGGAGACAGCAGTGTTAGAGGGGAGAGGAGGAGAGGCCGCTCTTGCTGGTGCAGGGAGGGCAGCAGGGACAGTGTCCAGAGCCTGGGAGGTGGCGAAGCTGTGGGCAGGAGTGGCAAAGGAGGCCTGCACACCCCATCCCCTCACCTTCCTCCCCACTCCTCCTCCCTGTCCTGCTGCCCATACCTCCCCTCCAAGGCTAAGACTCCGCTCTGTTTCCTCTGCACTTGGAAGGAGCCAGCGCCCCGATGGGCCCGTTGTAGGCACAAGGAAGGGCGGCCAAAGTTCGCCTTCCTGGGCAGGCATCACAATAAAGAAGAGCCGTGGCCGGCTGCGTGGGCATCTCAGTCCCCTGTCTGGGCCTCAGTTCCCTCACCTACACAGATGAGGACGTGGTGCTCGCTCGGCACTAAGCACAACCTTCTCACCACTGCTTCTTCTTTCCAGAAGCAGTAATTCTAGTGGCTTAACGGTGTGAAGTCCAGAACCAGACGGCCTGGGTTAAAACCCTGACTCTCCCGCTCGCCCCACTGAGTGATCCTAAGCTCTCTGGGTCCTCATCTGTAAAATGGGGAGAGTAATCGAAGCAGTCTTGGAGAGTCTGAATGAAAATGACATGAGTAACTGATGGGATGTGCTTAAATGTCCCCAGGACACAGTAGGTGCCATGTAAGCGTTAGCTATGAATAGTAGTTTCCCTCCGTGGAGCCTCTATTTTATTTTTATTTATTTTTTTTAAGTTTTTTTTAAAGATTTTTTTATTTATTCATTTGAGAGGGAGAATGAGATAGAGAGAGAGCATGAGAGGGGAGAGGGTCAGAGGGAGAAGCAGACTCCCTGCTGAGCAGGGAGCCCGATGCGGGACTCGATCCCGGGACTCCAGGATCATGACCTGAGCCGAAGGCAGTCGCTTAACCAACTGAGCCACCCAGGCGCCCGGAGCCTCTATTTTAAAAGTTTTTGTTTGTAAACAGTAAAATGAGATCAATGAATAACTCATTTCCTGATTTATTAATCAGAAACACAGATACGATCGCAAGCCAAAGCTCACGATCAACGTGAGGTCCAGTCACGCTTTCAACAGATGTTTATACCAAAGTCCAGATTGCCAAGATCTGACGCATTGCCAGGCACGGACAAAAAAAAAAAAGTTGGGCCTTTTGAACCACACAGTTTCATTTCAAATAAACGTGGACCCTCTTTAAGGCTTTTTATAAAGGTCAGAATAGTTCAAGGGCCACCATTGTCACTTCGGCTCCCAGTCATCTCCCACATCCCTGCTAGCCCAGCCTGCCTGGAGAGTGTGCACTGGGGCTGAACCTGAGCTTCTTAGGTGTGACCAGAGCAGCGTGCTCGCCACGAAGCTGGTGACAGCTCGGTGGGCGCTCCTGGAAGTCGGCAGCTCGACTGGTCCCCAGCTGGAGGCAGGACCTCAAAGATGGGGAAGAGGTGACCCTCCTGTAGTGCCTG